ATGACTAACAAAGCACTTATATACTAACAAAGGACTGGCTTATCTAAAGCTGAGTAGCACTTGACATGTTTTGGCTCTATGAAACCTGATGTACTTATATGATTCTGTTTTCTTCTAGTTTGTATCTTCTTGGTCGAATGCACTTATTGTAATGTAATGTAAATCTTTCATCTATAAATCATCAGAAAAATATGCTAAATACTGAAAAACCAACCAGTATTCAGTTCGATGTCGTTTAGGGTTAAACGACAATCTCTGTAGCAATTTCTTGGCAGCGTTGCTTAAAATCTGACTGAAATGACTTAGTTTTGCAAAATGTATCGATTGTTTCACCTCTAGTCTATTTCCCAAAGTTAAACAGTTGTTCTGGTTTGAAATAGAATCAAACACATCTTCAGCGCTGGATACAAGGTGCATGTAAGGACAAGATTGAAAAAGGACCACTTGTGAGGAAATCTCCTGCGTATCTACCGCGGGCTGACAGCTTAAATGCAAAAGCATGTTCGAGGAAATGGAAAATAAAGTACTTCTTTGAGAGGACTGTTCTTTGCTTCAGAGGTGAAACTCTGAGCATCGTTTCTCTATTCATAAAACCATCAAAGGGAATCTGCCAGATGAAATCACTGAAATGAGAAGAATCAACATTTAAAAATGTCTGCTTTTTCTTTGGAGGTAAAAGCTTAAAGTGGATCCAACAGCAAGTCGAGCACTTTGTGACCAGGCACTAAAATACTCAATACAATAAATATGATGGTACATGATCAGTGTGTATCATCAGGAGGACTGCTGAGGGATTACCATTGGCCAGAGCCGGAGTCATTTCCATTGCACTTCACTGTGAGGGCCTCAGGTGCCGAGCAACCCGTCATCTTTAGCCATTATAAATATAACACTCGCAGATTATTCTTCATCTATATACACATCTTCATCCTCACTCTCTATAACTCTTATGATATAATGCCCTCTAGTGGCCATATACTTTAAATATGTCTATGAATTGAACTGCAGTATTTCAGATACAGCACCAAGAGGCCCTTTCCTTCCCTCTGATCTATGACAAAGGCACTGACATCAGCACACAAACACCCAATCACTGCCGTTTCCTGCTCTGTGAGGATGTCCTTATATGGACATTTGGTAGCTTTGTGACAAGGCATACCGCGGCCAATACACAAACCATTGAGTACAATTAAGCCACATTCACTGCTAAGAGGTTCATCAGTTCCCCCCCTGGGACTTCTCATGACAAATCCTGAAGTGAAACAAAAACATACTAGCAGGTTTTGGCTATCTACAATAAATAATCTAATCCGAGCGCTATACACTCTACTGGTCTTCTGACTGTAGATATGTGCAAATGTTTCACTGGTGTCCATGATGGCCGAGGCCTTAAGACACACCTGTAGCCGTCACTAAAGACAGAAGTACATAACATCAGGTGGACGAGGGTCCCCAAGCAGAGTGAGCTGTCCTGCAGGGAGCCGTGCACGAGAGCTAGTGCTGCTGACGTCCAACTGGCAGGGAGAGCACTTAGGGCCGATGGAATCTGGAGAAAAAAACAATACACAAACACACAGTCTTAGTTCATGAAAAAACAACACACATACAGTTTAAAATTACATTTTTAGTTGATGTCAACGCAGAGATATTCATTTAGGGTTTTATGGGTTGCAATCAAATTGCACGTATATGGTTTGTTATTAATCTTCCCATAAAGTTGTTTTAAGTGAAAGCCCTGAACCACATCGAGAACAATTATTTAGCAGGTGTTTAAAAAGCAGAAAAATAAGAACCTGCACAGCGTTTAATAATCCAGTAATACATTCAATGATCTACTGCTGCCGCAATTTCATCTGATATGGATTTTTACCAGGCACAGAAACACTTCTTAAACACCTGCCTTCACAGATTTCAAAGTATCGTGTGCTGCAGTGTATTGCTTTAGACTAGAGAATGAAAATGGTCTGATGTGATGATTTTTTTGTGATGAAGATGAATGATTTAGATTCTGCAGGAATAGATGAAGGTGATATTGGTTTCACTTAATATTATGGAATACAAAAGATATGGTAAGATTATATTGTGTTTATCCCTTGGGGACATTGATGTGCAGCAGTTGCAATAAAAAAAAGGGGGGAAAGTGCAACATAATAATAGAACATTAGGGTGAAAATCCCAAATAAATGATATACAATATAAGGTAAACAGTTTGGATAATAGAAATATAAACAGGATAATGTTAAGTGTTTGTATTCTATTTTTGTATTGAAAAGCTGTTCTTTAGGACTTTCACGCTCAAAATATTTGTTCAAAAGACATTGGCGAAACAAGAACTATGCAATGTAACACATCTTGAGCATCTTCTACTCAAGCTAAAGCCACCATATTAACTGATTTGAGTCAAACAGAGTGTAGTTCATTTGGAAAAATATATTAGACTCAAATGTGTATCACTTTTTACTGGTGGATTGAATCCCTCTGCCACACAGATTTAATAACATACGAGAGCGTGAAACTGCACTTTATTGGCAATCAATGGCGGAGGCTAATGAACTGGAGCAGCAGGTGCAGGTGTGTATATCATCATGACTTTACTGTTGGAGGAAATGTCTTCTGAGGACAAGAGTTGTATAAATATTGATCAATGTGATCTAATAAAACAGTAGGATTGACGGTGATAAATTACTAATGAAGCAGGAGCATAGACTGTATATGTATAGATGTATGTAGTGTCCGTGACGTCACCCATCAGTTTCTGCAGGGTTGCTGTGAAGCCCGAAGCAAAAAGTCAAAATCAACAGAATGTATTGAAAGACCAATCTTTATTTTCAGGTGACTCTTCTTTTAAATGAAACCTTCAGACATGAGATATTATTAGTATTGACAATCTAAAAAGACTGAGCAACTCAACAGCTAACTTTACATTTGTTATTGTCCAAGCATTTGTTACACTCATTTGTTCCCCTCTCATATTCACAGTGTGAACGGATTGAGACAGCGTGGTGTCCAGAGAGCTGCAGGGACTTCAGGGAGAAACCTCAGTGTGATGGACGTCCTGTCTGTGCCGGAGAGGGCTTTCCTCTGCGAGGAGGACCAGGATTCATTTTCCTCGTGGATGTTCTTCTTGACCCTCGGAGAAGGAGAAAGTGGTGAGGCAGTCGTGTCCTTTCCTAAGAGAAATTACAAGAAACACAAAACATGACATTATTGCAGAGCAAGTGTTTTATCTATGAAAGAGGTGTGTTTGTGTGTTAAGATATCTTCGTTTTTTATTTCAACAGTGAGCTACAAAGATAATCAGATTATGAATGAACAGTATGAAGTTCATCAACATTGAAATATATTTTATTATCAAAATAATATTTAATTGTTATCAAAACTTAGTGCAACTGTAGTTTCTTGCTCTGTTCGGCTGTCTCACTGAAATAATCAATTTTACCACATATACACAATATAAAGAGATAAATAGTAGCAATTCTTACCATGTGTTAAATCATTTTTGCCTTCAATACATTGAAATAAGAAAGTTGACAAAAGTAATGTTGCTTGTTAGCATCTAAAATGTAACCTTTTGCATGCAAAGAACCTTCAACTTCATTGATGTGTAGGTGATCTAGCATGAGGTAAAGTTGAATGGAATGTATATCAGTGTATTATAGTCAATACTTCATCTTTTTAAAATGTTTCTCGATTCTTTGTACAGTATGAAAAAAGGGTATTTGTACCTTGGAGTATGTGCTGAAGTCCACTTCTGTCTCACTCTCTGGTCCAGCCTGTCTGGATCACCTAGAGGAGACTTAAAACAAACAGATATATGTAAAGTAACGTGTTGGTTACAAGCTTATGTACATGCAAACAATACAACTTATTCTCTTCTGTTGGATTGAGTTTAGTCAGGGTCCTTTTTATTTGACTGACTTGGAAGAACAAATGTAATGCAATGTATAAGAAATAATTTCCTTGTCCCTGAAGACCTGACTACGCTATTCATCGTCCTTACATGCAGGCATGTTACATGTTACATGTTCACGATCTACAGCCACAGTAAGTGAGTTTCTCGAATGTTACAATAAAATAAATAGTAAGCATTAGTACAATTTATTAAAACCACATTTGGGTTTGTTCGTTAATATGATGGTAACGTTAACTCACTAGCAAACTAACTATCTAATGTACGAGGATGACCTTATTTTACCTCACACAGAAGCCTTTTGTTCTACAGTACAATCCCTCTTAATGATTAACACTTCTCTATTATGTTTTAACTTGGATGCTACGGATAGCATCGTCAGCACTTATGTAGCTTCTTCTCGCTCAAATGCTAACCCAAGTCTAAACATTCACGTTAGCAAACAGTAAGAAATAAAGTGCTTGAATTTCACTTACCGAAGAAACCGCATTCATGGACGGTAAGTTAAGTCCGATATTTACATGAGCACTCCATCAGGCACCAACACAACACGTCTAGGGCTGCAACTAACAACTATTTTGATAATCGATTAATCTGTTGATTATTTCTACGATTAATCGATTAATCGGATAAAAAACACGCCAAAAAAAAGGTTTTCCATTTTCATAACATCAACACACAAAAACAACCCAACTGTAGGCTATAAACATATGCAAAAGCTACAGCTTGTTTTGAACAAAAAATATGTCTCTTTAGGTTGCTCGAAAAAAAACAATGTTCTTTCAAATTATCAACAATGATAACTAACCTAAAAAAAAGGTTGCTTGAATAGACCTGAGCCGTTATAAATAATAATACATTATAAAGTATTATTATTATTTACTCCTTAAATACAGCACACAGTGTCTCAACCCGACCTAGGCTACTTTCAGCAAATTTGCAATGACTTTGAAATAGCTGAATAAATAAATTGGCATAGTTTAAATAAGTTAAAATAAGTCAAGTTAGTCGTTAGTTTGTTTAGTATTTGGCCGTGTCTAAGCCGGATAATGTGCAGCGAGCCGGTCATTATTGAAAAAAACAAAACACCGACAGTATGATCAGAGAGACCGACGCAAAGCGCAGGGATCTTGATCAGGTGTTTTTATTTGTTTTCATTGACCACTTCGCTGCACATTATCCCTTACTTGTCATGCAATATTGAGCAAACAACCATATTAGATAAACGAGAAGCTTGATGTGAAACGCAAAACATGCTATCAGTCTAGTTTCTCGTAACTTACGGTGCTCAACAGCACCGTAAGTTACAGTTGTTCTGATCATGGCTCCAACATGTTTACGTTTCAGATGTTCCCGCATCACTGTGGTGCTCCCGCGCCATGCAAGTTCGATTTTACATAGTTTGCAGGTAACACACTTTAGCTAGGAGCAGCAGTCACAGCAGAGACGTGTCCCTCGAGGTGAAAAAGAAACTCCCTGAACCATTGTCAGGAAGGTGGAAATCTAAGTATATCCAGAATATGTTTTTTTGGATCCAGGCTAGAAACATGATTATTTCTGCTGTAAAGTTGGGCATTTTAACATGGGGGTCTATGGAAATAGCGCCTTTCTGCATCCATCCCCTATCGGCCAATAGATGAACTGCAGTTTGTGGCACCTCCTTATGGGCTTCACGGCTCTGCCCCAGAGTTTGCCGCTTGAGAACGGGAGTTAGTGGCACACCTGACTAAATGGTGAAGGTAATTGACCGCTGGCGTACCTGGTGAACTGTTTGCTGTCTTCATGAACCGTCATCTCACGGCTCTTAAACTCGTTCAGCTCCTTACGGATAGCAGCCTGAGGGAAGAACACACACACACACACACACACACACACACACACACACACACACACACACACACACACACACACACACACACACACACACACACATGATAAAATGCACCTAGCAGGACAAGGCCACCTGTTCCCCTAACCCACACACTCACAACACATCCAGAAAGCTAATACACAGCTGTGTTTTCTACTCTAATCCCATCCAGTCTGTGGCCTCTCATTTGGACTTTCAAACTCTTTTGCATACTTTCCATAAATGTGCCCAGATACAGTCTTTACTCCAGGGAGCTACCTACAATTTATAGTGCTATGTAAACATGTAAATAAGTACTGGCATGAACAATATACATGAGAATGTACACAGCAGAACAAAGATGCATTGTGTTTCCTTCTTTTAGATATATTGATTTGATTTTGTCTGTTTTTATAAAACACCATCAATAATTTAATATAGAACTATTGTATTCAGAAAGTAAATAACAAACTCTTAAAGGTGGGGTAGGTAATTTTGGAGAAACCAGCTCGAGTGCGCTAGAATTTGAAAATACACAACCGGAAAAAATCTGCCACTTCCTTACAGAGCCCCTCCTCCAACACACACGAACGCGCACATGACCAATGAAGGCACGAGATAAGTTTGTGCACAGATGGAAGGCTGACAGGCAGGTAGGCCATCCAGTTATTTTAGCCGGGCCGGCTCAGATGATTGGTCGTGCTTTTGAAAGTACTACGGCTTCCACAGATGACATTTTTTTATGGATTTTTTGTCAAAGCACTTCAGATATTCATTGCTATTGGGATGTCAAGAGCATTCCATGGAATATAACACAAAGTGTTTCTGAAATAAATTACATACCCCAACTTTAAGTGTTATTAAACTATATATGAAATCCTAACTATGTATGAGCTTGTTGCAGTCATTCTCTTTCGTCTGTCAGGGTTTAGTGATCAGGAGGTGTATTGGTTGTGATTTCTGTATGATTTGTAATTCTTAACATCAACAGCAGAGGGCATGCTTGACATAAAAACTGCCCTCCGACCCACCCTGAGGGCCTTTATCCTTCTATGAGGTTTTGCAAGACATGAGGACCTTTGAACAGGAGTTATGGTGCATGCACTACAATTCTTTCTGACACATGTTTCATCTTGCATGTGATCAAACATATATGGTGTGTACTTTATATCTTAGTAGTTTTATCATGTATCTTAATACACCAAGCCCGTTCCATAAGAATACATTCTTCTGAGTCCTATTTGTTGTTTATTACAACAGTAATGCCCACAGTTTTGAAATTATATACTTAACAAATGCATAAAGGCAAATGTTCAAGTGTCTTTTGTCAATGCAGTGACATCCTTTAACCACTTAAAGTTGCATTAAGAGGCCGATCTAAATCTTAATCTAACAATTAAAAAAATGATGGACATGGACTAATACTTACATAAAAAAGTGAAACAGTAATCATCTATTAACCAATAAATCAAGGTTTTACAATGCAGCATATTCAGTTAAGCACCTTGTCGGAGGGAGTAAGCCGGGTCCAGGGTTTGTCCGCCCGCCGGTCATAATCCTTGGCGTCCGTTACCTCCACATACTCGTTGAAACGCAGGATCCTGCGGGCCACGAGCTCTGCGACTGTAGGCCTCACACTCAGCTACACATACAGAGGAAGAAGCACATTAACATCAAGAACAGTCTTCTCAGTTAAAGTCAAACAAGCTGGTCATGCCCTGTATTTATTATGTAAACATTTTTTCATGTGAGCATATGTTAATTTAACCAAGAGCTGCAAAGGAAGAATACTCCACAGTTTCAAAAGTGTTAGCTCCATTTGTGACCACTAGAGGGCTGTTATGTTCACATAAGCATATTTTCTGCACATCAGCCAAAAGGTGGAGCAAAACACATTAGCAGCTAAATATAGACTGTCTCCGTCCTGTCCATTTGATCTTTGTAATGTGTATGTGTGTGTGTGTGTGTGTGTGTGTACTTGTGTGTGTTTACAGTACCTTTCTGGAGAGTCTCCTTTTAATCTCTTGTCTGGCTTCTTGCTCCTCAGATTCATTTTTTTCTGCACGCAGAGAAGCAACAGAGTCATTTCACACCTACAGTACTGTGTTTGCAAGAGCCTCTGCTACTATTTATAACAGCAAGATGTGATTCGCCATACAAGCGTGGCCATCCATGGCTGTAGAGTGGTGTGATGCCTGAACATAAACAGCAGCTAAAGGAGATATATGTATTCGGATTTTTTACACTCACACTCAATCACTCAATGCATTAAGGCGTGGTTGAGAATATCTGCTCAAACTAAGCATCAGAATAGAGAAGGGAAAAGGATTTAAACTAATTGGCATGGTTGTTTGTGCCAGACAAACTGGTTTTGAGTATTTCAGAAGCTTTTGACCTACATGGGTTCTCACGCACAACCACATCTAAAGTTAACAGACACAAAGAGAAAATATCTAGATTTGAGCATGTCTAAAACGAGGTCAAAGGAGCAGGTTTTACTGATTTGAGCTGATACAAAGGCAACAGTGACTCAATTAACCGTGTTATCACAAAGGAAAGCAGAAGAGAACACAAAGATGTCAAACATTAAGCACATGGGCTACAGCAGCAGAGGACCACACCGATAGTTACTGCTGTCAGCTAACAACAAGGAAACTGAAGCTACAATTGGCCAATTAAGAATGAGGGAATGGGGCATAAATATTGATTTCTGCTGCTACACTCACAAGGTAGGGTCAGAATTTGGTGTAAACAGCATGGAAGCATGGATCCATACTGCATTGTACCATCAACAGAGGCTGGGGATAATTTTTTGGGCAAACTTTGGCTCCGAAATTGACACAATTTATAATTTATACTTCACAGCCTATTAGAGTATTTCTGCCCTTGTCCATTCCTGTATGAGCAACCAATCCTCTGATGGCTACTTTTATTACACTCCACACCATTACATGTTTACATCATCTAAAACTAATTTGTTTTAACATAGAAATGTGTTTACTGAACTCAAGTGATGTTCATTCATTAGATGCTGGCCTCATTCTGCTGGTGTTGACCAGACTGGGGCTGTGTTGCACTGTGAACACGTAGTATCAAGTAAGTATCAACACCTTCAGATGGATGCCATGCACTGAAGTTGCAAACCAACTGGTTGCAAAATATTGTTATGAAGATGTGTCAGTAGATCAGTATCACTTCTTGGCCGTTTAGCAGCTGTTGTTTATTTAATGTGTTCAGTTACAGCCTCACATAACTGATAGTGTTCATAACATGTCATTTCAAAGGGATAAACTTGATCAAAACAATGATCAGATATATTTGAAAGTCATGTTATACCTGTTGGGTTATGCCATAGTTGTTTGGACATACCTTAGATATAATCAACGGTTTCAGAGTTTTACTTTGAATGTGTTGTATCCAACACAAACTGGTGATTGTTGTTGGTTGCTATTTTTTGTGTGTTTTCTACTTAGCAATAAGCATATTATATTCAGTCTTTAGTAGGAGAAAAAGCAGTTTGAGCTGGTTTGGATAGGCCAAGAGCAAAACAAGTTATTACCCAATATACTTAGCTGAAAGCCTTCTTTTTGGTCTCAGAAATGCAAAGTTGGCCAATAAAGCAATCCTGCTAACCCTCTAGCAGAATGATTTAAGTCCTGCTTGGTAGTATAACACATATTTATTGACTATTTGACAGTCATTTTATCAGGGTAAGTGTGTATTGTGCAAAATGCAGCCTTACTAAGTGACCTGAACTAACTTGAATTTTATTAACGCAGTATACTAGTCCGTAAACTCACTTTTGATCCAGCCTGTGAAATAATACAGACCTCAGTGTGACACAGCTTCTAATAGACTGTAACTCATAATTTAGACGGGCATATCTGTGTCATCTCTTTGCTTAATGAAGCACGCGAGTCTGTATCTGGTAATTTGTTGCAGCCACAGCTGGAACGCCACAGAACCTGTTATAACTTAAAACATCTTTTCTTTATCAGATATGAAACTTTATGTCATACGGACACACAATATTGGTGTTGCAATCATCAGCTATTCCTGCCTTTTATTTGTGCGAAAAATTGACATAAAAACAGCTTTGCAGAAAATAAAGTCAGGACTGGATGGACATTTTATTATTCACTATTATCAAATCTAGCTGTTTATGGTATATAATTGTATTAATTGTAATCCCCCAACAGTTATTTTGCCAGATTTTTATTTTTCTATTTTGAGCTAGTTCTATGATAGATGATTATACAGTATGTTGTGAGAGTACTTTTTTATGTATTACGTTCATAATATTGCAATAGCTAAAAAAAAAAAAAGTTTCTAAACATGTTGACACCCTAGAAAAGCTGCATTACATCACCCCTCACTGTTATAGTGTATTTCAGAAACTCACGCTTGAGGATGTTTCTCTGCTCCAGCTCGTCTGTGCTGGGTCTTTGGCTCAGGCGCCTGAAAAGAGAAAACTGTGTTCACGTACTTCCTTACACGCAGCTGATAAGAAATCATTCAAACATAACACTGACTTCAGAATAATACACATCAATTATAACAGTTACATTTGGGAAAAAACATTATTATTTCACACCCTCTTCTTGTTGCTAATCCAAGTGCTGTTTGCCACCAGCCTTTCTGCCTCGTCTGGTAGTAAACTTAAGAACATTTTTTTTTTTTAAACTAATAAACCGCCCACAACTACACCATAAAACAGTCTCTCTTATTACCGTAAAGCCCTGCCAAATCCAATATGAAAATTCACACCTAGCTACAGTTTCACAGCATGGTGAGTGTGTGAGTGTGTACCTGACTAGTTTGGAGCCAATCATCTGGCGGAACTCACTTCTCTCCATCTCAGAGCTCCGCGGCAGAATGTTTTTCTCCTCCAGCTCTCTCTGGCTGGGTCTGTTCCCGAGCTTGATGTTCAGGGTGTCTCGTCGGCGGATCTTAATGGCCAGGGGGCCTGGAACAGAGACATAGAGCTAATCAAAGGCCTTAAAAAAACCTGCATCATTTTCACATCAACTGCTAGCTCAGATTAGCCTATAGCTACAAATCTGATCATTTATCATCAACTATCACAACACCTTCAAAGTGAATATGTTCTGTTTTCCTGGTTGAAAGCTCAACTGAACCCTTAATGATACTTAAAACGTTGATTAATATCACAAACTTCAGGTGAACAACTTTGAATTGTTGGAATATAAGAGGAGCCTAATAAACTGGTCAGTGTACTCTTAAAACCATCACTTCAATTGTAATTCAAACCAAGAGCTGCTTGGGTCTCTCTAGTTTGTACGCTGCTTTTACAAAACCGATAGCATATCCTTGTGAAATACCAAACACAAGCACCCTACACGTGACAGTCGATGTGTCACGAGGAGCTTCTCTAAAATGTTTGTATTACAGGCGTTTTCCTGTGTTCCTGTTGTGTGATGCTTAACAAAACTCATGCCGTACTGGTTGTGTACTCGTCTTCCTCCTCATCTTCCTCCTCATCGCGGTACAGGATTGGTCCGTCAGAGTCAGAGTCGCTAGTTGTGCTGTATCTCGGCCGATCGGGGATCACCGTCACTTCGGCTTTCTCTGTGTTCACAGTGAGGCCCTGTGTCCTTTCTGACTGGCCCTCTGCAGACCTGCGGGCAACGACAAAGAAACAAATACTGAGAAATGTTAAGCTGTAAATGTTAATACTTGTAGTTATTTGCACACAACAAACTATTGATATATTGCCAGTATTGACTGTTAAGACCAGCAATGCTCTATGGAATTATCAGAACTGACATTCGGAGAACACGAATGTCAGGAATGTTTCACCAACTCTCATGGCCTCGCTACATTTTTACCTGGGGCTGTTATCCACTGCAGACTCGGTTTCTCCCGTCTTCTTTTCTTCCTCTCCTCCCTCCCCTCCTGTTCTCCCCCGTTTCTCCCCTTGTAAGTTGTTGCCCATCTCTTCTTCAGTGAACGAAGTGTCCTCTGTGGCACCGTTGATATGGGGAGACTGGGCAGTGGACTCAGAGGCCACACCCTTTTGTGTCTCCTCACCAGCAGTGGAGCATTTGGGAACAGATTTAGGCTCTCCAGCCGGTTGAGAGGCAGCCTGAGATCCCTCTGTGTTACTGCCTGAGGCTTTAGAGGAGGCATGCTTGGTTTCTGAGGAAAAGGACGAGCTTTTTAACTGCCCGGGGGTGCTAGGAGTCTCTGCGGGGGGCTTTTGAGGTACGGAGGAAGAGCTGTTTGATTTCCGGATGTTCCTTGCATTGGTCCCCCCAGTTTCTGATCCACCGTCTTTGGACGCACGAGAACGAGGGGTGGTGGCGGGGGCGGTTTTTGCCGTGGATCCTGTCTTCTTTGGCTGGGTGGATTTGTCTGAGAAGAAGCCGGAGCAAAAGAGAAAGAGAAAGAGAGAAGAGTAATATTAGACTTTTTTGTCTGTAGGTGTTCCAGTTTCCTCCAACAGGAAAACGTGCAGGTTTTGTAAAAATAACTCAATATCTGCTGGTGTGTATACATATTCTGTGTCTTACATATTTACTTTAAAGTCCAACAATGTGACATTGAGTCCTCTTTTTTCCATTAAAACTGTTTCGGTTGTCTTAAATGTACTGTTCATATAAATGTTATTATTAAAAAAGGAGGAAAAGGGGCTTTGGGGAAATGTTTCTTTTGTCTCAGTTGGCTGGAGGAGTCTGTGTTTCACTGACAGCCGCCTGCAGGCTTGGCTCCGGTGGGGGAACGAGGGAAAAAGTTGTAAAACTTGCGCTGAAACAAACAAATCATGGGCAGAAATATAATCGTTTGGTTTCTACATTTTACTAAAAGGAAAACTTAGAACCGGTGATTTACTGAACAGATATGTATGAAAGAGTAACTTTAATTGCATTAAGTAGGGCTGTGACATAATGGGGACATAATCCATCATTATTGATTACTTAATAAATGCAACCTTTGATGTTTAGGCTATAAAAACATTCACATTGCCATTTGTATGTCCTTGACAAATCCAGTGAATACTGACTGGAGCTCTGTGTTGGTGAAAGCCGAGGAGGAGGGGTGTTTAATTACTAAGAACACTAGTGAAACACATTTTTTCACACGTCTCCAGTCACTAAAAATAAAATGCACAAATGCGTTTTCAGAAAAGACTGCATGAAAAGCACATGTAATATTCTGACTCTAGGCTGCTTAGTTCAAGCATGCTGCAAGTAGCACACACAGAAGCACACACACACACAGGAGACTTATCCTAACCTTAACCATAACTAACACATGCATAACCCAAACCCTAACCCTTAACCTAACAAGTCCCCACAAGTATAGTAATGCTAGGCCACACACACACACACACACACACACACACACACACACACACACACACACACACACACACACACACACACACACACACACACACACACACACACACACACACACACACACAAGGGATAAATGGATGAAGGGTGATGATCATGCCCTAGCATCATGCCATCAATCAAAACCACAGGAGCTTGACAGAGGCCATGTTAAGCTATACTGAACTCAGTCACACTCATGTGCTCTGGCTCACACAAACACACACACTCACAGTGAGGTTGTACAGAGCTGAGAAAAAAAAAAACACATTTTCACTTCTGCTTTCTCAGAAACAGATATCATAAACCCTTACTCACATTTACTCACTTGACCTGAAATACCTTCTGGTTATAAAAGGACAGTTTCAAGAGGCAGGGACGGGGAATTCTATCAATAAGCTTGACTCACTAGTTTCAGACGGCTCTCTTTATTCTATTTAATAGTGTAACAGGCACAGTTTCCATGCAGGGAGGCAAGCAGGCAAGAACACTGACAGGCAAACTAGCTCCAGTCCCAGCTAGCCGAACTTACCAATCACACGACTAGTGGTGTTAGTGCTCCGCGGGTTAGCTTTAGCCTGAGTGGACGTGCCTGTCTTGCCTGCGGTTTTAGTAGTCTTTTTATTCCCCGGAGCACCCTCCCTGTGCTTGGTGATGGCTGCAGTGCTACCCGCAGGTTTGGAAGGAGCCGGCAGAGTGGCGCTTTGCTGTCTTTGTTTTTGCACATCTCGAGGTCTCACCTGCTTTCCCCGGGCGAGGGGTTTAGGGGCGGACCTCTCTGAGCAAATCAGTGGAAACAGGAAGGTTTTGAGAGGTTAAAAAAGGGATTAAAAGCAAGAAAGAAGATGCAGATCGGATTCAGAAATTGTTATTTAGTCAAGCAAAGAAAGAGAATGGAAGATAAGAGGTGATTAGGACAGAGCTGACGATGTTTGATCTGTTAGTCTTGTAGTTTTGCTACAAATGAAGGATGTATCAAGCTTGAAATATGTTAGATAAAATGTACAGATTGACCTTCCCTACCCTTCACCGTGAAGGCATGTGTGTTCTGTTACTATATTAGCAGTGTGTGTTCCCTTTGCCTTTCTGCTTATCGACAAATGGACAAACAAATGGCTCTGAGCTCAATGCTAACAGGGTTGAAATGAGCACAGCGCAACACTTAAGCATCAGACAGAAGCACAGTGGCTGTCTCCTGAGGGAGAGGGAGGCATTAGCAGAGGGCTGCTGCTGGGTTTAGACTGACAATGCCTGCTGCATAATGGGAATATCTATCTGAACACATTAGACTCTGTCAGAGATCCCACAGAGGATTTCATATCAGCCAGAAACATGCTGCCAGCCGGTACAAATGCATTCCCCGAAAGAGGGGGGAAAGACTTCAAAGCAACAAACATCTAAAAAAAAACTGCAACAATTAGTTCTAACTTATAAATATTATATTTGTTGTACTGGACACATTTATACCAATACAGAATATCTCCATATCCTTGAAGTTGAACTTGGAGCCTTTTATGCTTCAGGTGTCAAAGTTCTTCATAGATAGAAGCTGAAGAGAAAGAGCTTCTTTCTTGCTCTTTTCTCATTTGTATTTTGCCCCCGACCATTCTTTCTTTTCTGTGTCCAGGTATAACAAACTTGAAAATATCGATTATCGGGGGCTTTCATATTGTATAATGTATGCTTAGTTCTAAGTGTTATTCCTTGGATAGTTGTTCCGGTATTATAGATAGAATTGGAGGATGAAACCTCAATTCAATGGATAACTAGTACAGAGTTCCTATAGTAAAGTCTCCAAGTAGTCTCATATTACAGGACACATACCAACAGCTGGCGTTTGGCCTCCGTTAGTTACCTGTTTTCTTTTCAGTGCTGGCGGGCCCGGTGGCCTGCTCCTCCAGCGCCGTTTCTGGAGACTCAATGTCAACTTTGACCTCTTCTGATGTCACACTTGATGTGGCATGGCCATTCTGATTTTCACTGCTGATTGGTTCCTCTAGAAAAGGTAAAACATTGTTAACAGTGAAACTGAGATGCTAGAAACAGGGTTTATACACTTTTTCACCAATGATTTTCAATGACTACTCCATGACCTTTACCTCATTTTCCAAGACCAAAACAATGAATCTTTCTCAGCGGTACCACTGAAAATGGTTTATTTTAACATGGAACAGGAAAATAAGGTCTGCATATGAAACATGTTGTGCCTATCTAATAGTAGGCTTACTAGCTTCTACAGGCTAAAGCAACTAAAATCTCTCACCAGCAAAATACCTCGACAGTTAAATGCCATTTTACGTTTCATTACTATACGATACAGTATTTATTATCATTATAGTATTACTATTTCAACGATTAGATAAAATATAAATTATATTTGATGCAACTTTAGTTACATTTCCATGACTTTTCCAGAACTTTGGGAATATATTGTTTTCCATAACTTTTCCAGGGCCTGGAATTAGCATTTTGAATTTCCATGACCTTTCCAGGTTTTTAATGACCGTAAGAACCCTGTAGAAAGCAAGTCCAAACACAGTTTAAGTGGCCACAGGAAACTGTATTCATATTTGACAGCTGAACTTTAAAGTGTGAAGGACAGTGTTCTGTATTGTATAATGATAATACAGCTGAACATTGCACCTTGGATACGCTGCAATAATGAAATGAACAACATGTGAATGAATGATCAGGCAAACCTTGGTCAATAATCAGAACTCCTTTCTTGATGAGCTCTTCCCTCGTTTGTCTGGTGGAGATTTTTCTCTCTAGAACTGAATAAAAGACAAGATCAAAGCCTTTGTTTAGTCTTATAGCTGAAGCAATACATACTACACAGAGTTCTACAAAAGCATTGCACAACATCGACTTTCCTCTTGTGACTGCCACGCCACATCCTCAATGCACGTGACAGCACCACACATTGAGTCACAGGAGGAACCAAACCTGTCACCCTTAAACTGTTTTTATCTAAAACCTCTTGAGAATGGGACCATGAGGAATTAATCGGCCTTGTTGACGACAAGATCTGTTCACAGCGGAGACACAGCGGAGAAACAGAGAGCTGAGAAGTGCAGCTATTAAGATAATATTATTGTGTCATAATAATAATAATAAAAAACGTTATCTATAGAGCACCTTTCAAATCATACTGTACATACTGTTACAAAGTGCGTTACCATACAAATACACAGACAGCAATTAAACAACAGCATTTAAACATGAGAATACAAAGTATAACACAGAAAATAATAAAACAGAGAATAAGAATACAATTAAAATAAGACAAATACAAATCACATAAAAGTAATTCTACAAAAGTGACTTCTTGCAGCCCTGGTCGTTACAATATAAAGGTAGTTATAAAGGTGTGTGTGCATGTAAACGGTCTGCAAAGGCTAACATCCCAAAGTTCCTCATAGGGAGTCCAACACCCGTTTAAACATTAAAGCATAGAGACATGTCACAGCAGAGGGACAACATACTAATATGGACCTAAAAAAGAGCAGCATGTCTTCTTTAAGTGTAAATAATGAAGAAGACATAACCTGGCGGCCATGAAAAATGTGTGTGTTTGCTTTTTGTATTTACTCTTGTCCCTCTTTCTTTCCCAGCCAACACTTCAGGAATAATTAAGTGAGAGCTACTAAGCACATTTTCCTTTTAAAGGCCTTCTGGGAGCAACTGCTCCTGCTCACACTTAATGTTGAGCATAAATCCAAAAATGAGCACCAAAATGTTTAATGGACACTCTCAAACAAACACACAGACACCCTACCTTTGGAAAGATCCTGGAACTTGTCACTTGACTTCTTCTTTCTCCACTTCCAGGGTTTGAAAAGTTGTCCTATTGACGACAGCTTGCCTCGCTGCTGCCGGGATGTAGGGGCATTCTGGGTATTTGTGGCGCTGTCAACCACCACGTCACAGCTGGCCAGGGATGAGGATTTCTCCAACCCATCAACTGCAAGACACACATGCAGGAATGAAAAACATATAACATCCATCATCTGATTTTGATCGTGATACAAACACAACCATGCAGTCCAGTTCTCTATATGCCATTCATGTCTTGTGATGCATGGATTTAAATACGCATGCTATCGTATAAATAAACAAAACATAGTTTGTGCTATTAACAGCTAAGGCTTGGTTTAAATATGTCCAGATTAATTTCCAGCAAACAAAGCCTTCTTTTCACTCGTTCATACTGCATAACACTGACTACACACTCCGGAAACCGCAGGGTAACTCATGACACACTTTATCAGGGTATCTTGATCTTTGCTATTAAGGTACCAATGCGTCTTTTATGTGCTAAATGATTTGCCTTACAGGATTTAAGATGTTTAACAAGATAGGATGCAAAACAAGTTTTTGTTTTACCGAACATTATTCTTGTTGTGAAATGCTGAAAAAATATTTATGCCACTAAAATGTAACAACTGCTCAGTCCGAGAAGAGCCCTCTTTGGTTTAACAAAACTCAATGCTTGCAGAAATGTATTCAATATATTAGTTCTTATTTTTTGACAATGTAGTTTCACATTACTGCATCAATGACTTCTTTCACGGGTTAGGGGGAATATTGTTTCTAACTCTGTCTTTATACAGTACATTTGCCGTGTGTGTGTGTGTGTTTGTTTGTGTGTGTGTGTGTGTCTTGGCTAGATCCCTGTCCTTCCACAACTCCTCCTCTTCCTGTTGATTAGAAGTCCTGTGAACCCTCTGGAATACTGCTGAGAGTGTGTGTGTGTGTGTGTGTGTGTGTGTGTGTGTGTGTGTGTGTGTGTGTGTGTGTGTGTGTGTGTGTGTGTGTGTGTGTGTGTGTGTGTGTGTGTGTGTGTGTGTGTGTGTGTGTGTGTGTGTGTGTGCAGAGGAAAGAGAGGTGGTGTGTGATTCTTCAGATTTAGGCAGAGGGAGGCTTTTTGTTTTTTCAGCTACATAACAGCTGCTGCTGAAACACTCGTGTCCCCTGACTGTAGAAACTCCAGCTGGGATAAAAAGTTTTAAAGTATACAAACATATACCTTTGAGAGCAATTTCTCAAAAAATCTTTCTCCCTCAAAAATGTGTTCCCTAAAAGATTGTCAAGTTACTGTAGCAGCTGAACTGAAGTCTAAACCTGTGGCTGATATGGTCAGTTATCAGTAGATGTGTTTGAGTGTACCGGAAAATTACAACACAAATAATAACTGAAAAACAGAACCACAGATATTGTCTTTTCAAAGCATTGCACAGACATTACTGACAAAGCCACTTGACCACTGACAGTTTGGTCTAAGATGTGGCATGTTGCATGCTAGAAGCTGTTGAAAAAATACTGGAGGTCAGCTATTTTACCCTTGCATGGGTCAATATAGCTTACCTTACACTATTATATATAACTATGGCGATTCATGTGTTAAACATTTCTCCTTTTTGAAATTGGGATTTATAACTGTGCTTATTTTCTTGATGCTTGCAAAAGAAATGTTCCTACCATATGTAATTGACTGGCTCCTTATGTCTGTTATGTTTTTCGTTCACATTCATGTTCCAAGATTATTATTTTTTTCAGAGAGCGAGATGGTGGAAGGCATTTCATTCATGCTTCATTCACAGGCCAGTCTTAACCCTTGCTGTTAAAGCATGTGCGCAGATACACAGAAACAGTGATGTGACTAAATCAGATGTTTGCTGATGATGGGTAAAAGATGTACCAGACCAACAGCTCATGACCCTCTCAATAACGGTGGCTAGAAACATAATACAGTTTGGTTGAAAAGTCAACAGTGCATGTTTTTTCTGAGTTCTATCTAAGAGGCTTATGCAGCAACATAGTCAGCAGAAAAACAGCTGAAACTCACTTAGCAGTTTGGCCGGATGATCCAGATGTTTAACACATTTATAAGGAATTATTAGTTGGGCCACCTTTTGCCAAAAAGGTAAATGAATGATTCCAGTAGAAGTGCAGGAAATAAAATACACAATTTGGAACGTATCGGTATTTGTTCTCACATCTGATGGAGCCTTCGGATCAATAGTAAATACTCTGTTGGTTGGCTCTCAGTAGATTTAGCTGGCCATCTGCTGCTCATTAGACTCCACTGATGGACCTGAGCTGAGAGCGATGATCTGCCTCTGACTGCTGAAGGCCGATCAATGTCCTTTTTCAGGTAAGAGCACCCTGAATATATCACATGTACCCATATGGTTTTAAAGCATTCGGTGGTCTGCAGGAGACGTATGTTATTGAACGTTGTAAAGTGGGGCTGTTATATCAAGAGCAATTAGAGCAGTTGTTAGATAAAGCAATTCTTAGTCAACTCATACGATTTTGTCGACATATAGATCAGGCCTAGTGGATTCAATCCACATTTCTCAGGATTCACAAAAGAGTCATGCACAAGGTCCCCTTTAAATCTTGTGTTTACGGCAAAGGTTCTCAAAAGTTTCTTGGAAATAAGACTTTCAGAGTGGAAGATCATAACATATGATTGATCAACTAGAAATTCTAATCAACAAACACTAAAAACACATCAGTGGACTAATCTACTAAAAAGGAGCAGCCCTAAGCCATGCTAACTGCACAATGTTCATGTTGTCAACGCATTTACTGTGAAATCCTGCATAAAATAACAAACAAACAAAACAACAGGGCAATTAAAAGCACAAAAACCAGACATTGAAAAGTGCAGTGCAGAGCCCAGTAAATGCTCTCCCCTGACACCAATTTAATTCGCTCTCTTGCACACACACACAGTCATTTCCTGTTCCTGTGTTGATATCAAATCGCAACAATAGGAACATTTCAGCAGCTGCTTCGTGCCGCTAATGATGGGAAAATCAGTAACAGAGATTATCATCACCATTACGGTAACACTTCTAGTGGGAACCAAATAGGGGCAAAATAACAATTATCATGGACTTAAGACTTTAAATCAAATAGGAAGGGGAGAGAGATGGAGATAGTGAAAGTAAACAGACAGTCTTTTTATAGGCAGAAAATCCTCTCTATCAACAGACATTGGCCTCATTGCTTTTATTATTAGTAATTATAAGTATTTTAAGCAAAAACGACAGATGACATGTTTGATTGCCTTTGCGGTTTACAAAAAGGCCCAAATGTATCCTACTGGAATAAATGGATAGGGAAGATGTGTGACTGACACGTGTCATGTGTTACAGGAAGTGGATATTTTCTTAAGCCTACATTCCCAGGAAACTGGATACATTGGCCGAGAGAAAACATTTACTAAATATAAAATAAGTAGGTCCCATTTTGTGTGGTAACAAGTTTTTAGCTTTTAGGTTCATTTTTCAGACACATTTAAATATATTTAATAAGCAATGGACATCAGAATCACAATATTTAAATACATTTTACTTTTAAAAACTGCATTAGCCACTATCAGTACACAGATCGCTTTATAAAGAATACAATAGACTCTAGAGCTTAACCTCAAAGCCTCAGGAAGACAAACTTGAACATTACAGTTTCACCACAGTAAGTCAAATTAAAATTAAACATACTGTAAACCTCAGCGAAGAGGCTGGCAACAAGACAAGATGAAATAAGAGCTTCAGTTTATTGATCAGCTGAATAATACAATATTTTGTATATGCTTCAGCAAGTCAATTACCAGTATTAAAAAAAAGAACTGCAAACATCTGCAGTGTTACTACAATCCTGCATTCCAGACAGATCTGTTCAAGAGAAGCAATATAATACTGACTACAGCTTCTTTTAATCAAAGAAATGCAGCTTCAGTCTACCTCAGTTACTTAGGGACTTTATTACAAAATAAAACAGCTGACTCGACTCCACGACTCCACACTTTTTTTCACAGAGGCGTTTCATTTTTGTAACAGATGACTCGCGATGTCATGCTAGAAGGGTGAGTCAGGATTTGGACAAATCACAGCTGTGGAAATGCGTGGGATAATCAGGAACTCAACTTGAGGCACGACAGACAACTCAATGAAGAAGTCCCACACAGGATGTATTAAGTTAACTTTTAAGCTACATTAATGTAGAAGAACAGAAGTAATGTTAGGGTTGAAGTGCATATATATTTTGGCAAATCCTGTCTGTTTTGTTAGACGTTATAGCAGGAACATGTGTGGAGGAGGAGGGGAAAGGGAGAGGCTTCCTTCCTTCACTACAAGTCACCGGGGAGGGAAGAACCAGACGTCACCAACAGAGGAAGAGGGATGGAAGGGGGAGAAAAAAAACAGGCAAAAAGAGACAAAAAAAGAGGAGAAGAAGGTGAGAGGTGGAAACAGAGGTGGGGCAAAACAAATGTGGGAAAGAAAGCAGAAACTAGGAAGGAAAAAAAGGCAAAAAGAGGTGTTGGACGAGAGCAGAGGGAGGGGGGGCGCTGGGCTTTACTGAAGTTTAAACACTTTGGTCATTTCTTCCAACTCTTTCTCCAACAGGCCAGAGAAGCACAGTACTGTTAAACTCATGATACTCACAGGACCTACTGTAGCAGCTTGAATTAGGCTTAAGTAACAGACCATAAAGTAACCGAACAGGAAACTGAAGCTTTATAGTGTTTAATCGCAGCGTCATAAGTCATTAACGTTAGGAGGATATCCGTTTTCTATGTTGATGATCTTCCAATACGACTATGGCAGAATCCCTTCTCCTCTCCTGCTATGAGTAGCAATTAAATCACAACACAGCCTCATAATGTAACCCATAATGCAGCCATGCAACTGCATATAGTTCCTAATTGCAGCCTCAGGTTCCTATGCATGTTGGTTTAAGTGAGCTACAAAACAGTCTGCGATTTACTCTAAATGCTGACAGCGTCATAAACAATGTTCAGTGTTGTTTTCATCCGGAGTCCTTCGTCCCTTCCTGTGTCTCTCTGCCTTAAAGCATTCCCATCAAAAATGTTAACAAATGTGAAATGCGCACTTTTATTGCTCATTGACAGACAAAGGACTACAGATTGCCAAAAAATGAGTTGCAAGTGTGGAGGTTTTCACACTCTCATGTGCTACTGTTGTGTTTTATATGTTTAGGCTTCATAAGCTTCATGATTCATCCACAGGTTTTTTTATTCTAATACTTCAGTTACAGACTGGAGTAATGTTGTAGCCATAATCCAAACAGGTTGGCTTTTCTTAAAGAATTTCGGCAATTTCTGATTGATGTTGTCTTAGATGTATACATTAGTACATACAGTTCTTTATCCTGCAAACATCAACAGGGCATACTATTGCTCAAGCGCTTTGATCACATGACAGAATCTCCCTCTGCAGACTGAGAGACAGATATGACAACAGATTAACTCCATTTGCTGGGGAACGCTATGTTATATGATCAAAAGCTGTAAAACAGCGATGAAGCGGACCATGTGGGGATTTTTCAGTAAGCAACATAATCATTTGAATCAGGAGAATAATGATCAGGTCTCCATCCAACTGAACACATTTTCTATTCACACTATAGCGCTCCCTCCCACCATCATCATAACACCAAATGAGGAAAAATCTTTTGAAAGCACCGGGTTCATGCCAATGAAACTTGGACAATCGATAACAAGGAGTATTGGATAACACTTTGATGTGTTGTTCTCTAAATATTAAACTAATTAGACACTGACTGATGAACTGTTCATCTAAAGCAGAGGTTCATATTAATGTGGTGTGTACTGAGCTGTTTTATATTTCGACTTTAATGTTTAAAACATGAAATAATGACAGAAATAGAGATAATACAACTATAACAAGTAGAACTGAAACACTAGGATGCTTTTACTTGACAATTAAAGGTTCAAGTGATATCATTGGGGATTTTTGGTGGGAAAAAAACAAGACATTTTGAAGACATGTCCATGTGTTTGCTCAAATTGATGTGGTCTTTTGTCACTATTTTCTGACATTCTATTGGAAAAACCTCAAATCAATTAATTGAAAAGATAGTCAGCAGAATAAACAATGAGGTACAAACTTGTTGGAGCCCTTATATGTAGATCCATCCGTTCAATTATAAAAATATGATGCATTCCTGTTTCATATCATAGTTGTAAAACTAAGTACTTTCTTTAAGTGTTGGTTAGAAAAATAAATATTACAATAAGTACTCGTTGCAGTCCTACATATAGCTACAGTGCCTTTACACGATGACAACATAAAAATGATGAGTGTGTAACTTAAACTATAAGAGATGACCTTTGCTACAGAGTATTTACAGAGATAAGTAGTGTTGATTGTAACGTGATGTTGTGTTGGTCAACAGGGTCCTGACTTTGAATTAAATGCAAGTCCACCCAGATTGCATTGAGTGAGACAGGCTTCAGATAGCTCTCTTGTCAATGTCTGGTCTCTAGTAGGAAAACAAACTAAGCTGTTCATTTGGAAACTGGTTGCTAAATACATAAACGCACATAAACTAAACAGTGCACTTCATTACACAGCAGAAACTAATTGATTACACAACGCAGAGGTAGCCTGCTTTAACAGTGAGTATTTCAGCAGTTTTACAACAGTTGGATAACACAACAAGCGATACATTTAGAAAGAGAGATAATAATGATGCAAGAGCGTATTAATTCATTTACAACACCACTAGTAGCCAGTGATGGAAAGTAACTAAGTGCATTTACTCAAGGACTGTACTTAAACACACATTTGTATTTTATACTACTACATTTTGGAAACAAATGTCGTAATTTTTTGTTTTCTATGTATTTTCCAGATTTATTTAGTTATTCCATATTTTGACAAACTGCTTTAAAAGTAGGATTATTTGATATGGATTACACCCTCCAACATCATATTTATGTAACTAAAAGTTACATTATCCTCATCGTACTTAAATACTTTTACTCAAGTACCACTCTTGATGCAGTACTTTTTCTTGAAATTGACTTTGACTACAGTGTGGTATTAGTACTTTATTAGTACTTCAACTCAAGTAAAGAATATGAATACTTTTCCCACCACTGCTACCAGCTAACCAACAATTAGCATGAACCCATAACGCGCTTTGTTTGAGTTGAGCTGTGAGGAAGTTTCCATGAAATAAGCGTCACATACGTTAAAAGAGGAAAGCAGAAATGAGCAGACATCCTGACATACAAATAGCGGAATGTGTGTACGTGCCTCCCTCTTGTCTCTCACACTCACACACACACACACACACACACAACACTCACCGCTCGCAGGCTGAGACACCGCTAACACAGCAGTCTGACCCATATTCAGACTCTCCGGGTCGGACCGAGCCCCTGCAGAAAGTACACCCGAGTTCACGGCCTCCTATCGCCGCTTAAATCCCCTTCGCAGCTGCCGAGTGAGGAGTGCATTTCAGAAAAGTTTGAGACCGTGATGGCTGAGTGGCTGGAAACTTTGGTTCCCTGACTGACTGAGTCGCTACTACGTCGTTACTTCCCCTCCCTCCTCCTCCGCCTCCTCCTCATGTGAGCAGTTGAATAATGCCTCTCATTCCTCGCTGCAGATTAGAGGCGCTGCTGGGGTCAAAGCCAGGGTGAGGAGGTCTGACACCTTCAGTTCAGCCACTAGTTTATACACTTACCGCATGCACGGTGAGGGAGGTATTAAGATATTGAAGCCTGCTTAACTACCAATTAGATTTATTTGTTTTATTTGTTTTATGTCCTATAATTATATATTCATGTTGCATTGTTGGAGGAGCCTGTGACTTAAGTTTTTCATTGTCATATATACACTGTAGCTACTGTGCACATGACAATAAAGCCTCAAATCAATACACCAATATATAAAGGTTGGCTACTACTCCACTTGTAAGTAAAAGCCCACAACATTTACTCAAGTGTTGCCTACAAAGTAGCCTACAATTGCAAAAGCACAGTACTTTCCCTTTCCCTCTACTTCCTGTATTTCTAGTAACATAATACTTCTTCTATTCTTTTAATAGAGAATTGGGTAGCCTATAGTTGTTTACTTCATTTATTTGAAAAATGTAGGCCTGATCTACATGCGTTTTGCTTTCATTATATATTATTTTGTTTCTTTTGCTGTCTTTAAGGTGTCTAATTGTCTTACAGTAGGGCTATGGTTTCAAAACATGTCGCAAACGGACTGCAATTGAATAGCCAACTGGCTTACACTGGCACATTTACAAAAATGTCAATTAATGTGTGTTGTCCTTTTCAATAAACAAAGGTAAATTACGTATTGATTGCACAATGAAACAGCTAATAATGACTCAATAAGCTTTAAGATTGGTGCCCTAAGCATCACTTTCTATTCAACTCTGACTGCCAATAAGTACAATCTCTCGGCTCAATTTAAGACACAAAGGAAAAATCTCAATTGTGAAACTAGAACAGGAAGAGTAAAGCACTTTTCATTTCCAGGTAGCTATCGGTAAAGCTATCCACAGTTACCCTTTTGAAATCCCCTGCATCGGAAATGGCTAACGGTGAAAAAAACACTGTAAATGTAGATCAAAAAGCAGTGTGTCCTGTGTTTTTGGTAGTTGCTAGGCTCTGAGAAAAACAAAAAGTGATCAGGTTTTCGTTGCTACAATGGCCCCAACAGTAATACCACTTGAAAACCCTAGGGGGGAGTTTAAAAGTAGTCTATATCGACTTAGACATCATATTAAAAGAAATGAGCTCATACAATACAACCAATTGGCTTGAGACTATATTGTCTGTTTGGGGCCTTTCCCCTCTTAAATTCTCAGATGGTTTCATTCAAATAACTGTTAGAGAACCAAAGGGGTACATTTACCAAGTCTTAAGCAACAACAACACAAAAACAAAAAATATGGAGTGGACTGACCGCTGCGTGGGAAACCACTGGACTACATTTCCAAACTGCGGCCTATATACACTATCTGAAACTCAAAATGCTGCCTGCGAAAAATCTTATATTGTTATAATAAATAACTGTTAAAAAGATAAACAAAGAGGAACTTCATGAGTTTTGGTGTTAGTGTCATTCCGTCTACCTATAGGTAATACTACCTCGGTCACTGGGAACATTTAAGAGCAGAACAAGTAGTTTTACTTATTTCTTATAGTTTTATAACAGCAAAACAGTATTTGTGAGTGTTCAGTTTTCACACTGTACAGCCTGTGGTGCAGACTTGCAAAGGATATTACACAGAGATCCACAAATAGACTCACTCCTTGTCCGTTGAAACAGAAAGAGATAAGAGGGATGGAGGTATGATAGCTGTCAGAGTAAAAGCTATGATGTAATGCTGATTCAATCCTTTGTTTTCTTCAATTAAGCGTTTGTTGTATGACATTTTAGTACAAGGTACAGAGGCCAGAGGGATGAAATGAAATTGCACAGTCTAAAAATGATATTTAGTTTGAAATAATGTTCTTATATTTAACATGTAATCCCTATTTAAATATGACTTTATATATATGACTTTCTGTTTCTGTTACATCCTGTCCCAAATACGTTTGTGTCTTATGTAAGACGAATATGCTTGGTTTAATGTTAGACATCTTACAACTTCTTCTGGCAAACCAACCTACCCAAGATAGTGTGTGAGTGTGTGTGTGTGTGTGTGTGTGTGTGTGTGTGTGTGTGTGTGTGTGTGTGTGTGTGTGTGTGTGTGTGTGTGTGTGTGTGTGTGTGTGTGTGTGTGTGTGTGTGTGTGTGTGTGTGTGTGTGTGTGTGTGTGTGTGTNNNNCAATCTCCATTTAGACAACACACATTTTAAAAGGTTTTCCGCCTGCCGTCTGTCTGCAGACTTGTCAAAGCATTAATTCTATGGTTTTACTAACCGGTATCAGTATGTTGTTACTTCGGCATAATTTTTAAACGTGTATTACAATTAAATCACGGTCAAATATGTTCATCTTGTTGTAGTTGTAGCCCCCTTGCCAGCGATTCTCTCTCTAGTTTAACATACTCAGCCCGACTCAGCCTGGTTGTTCCTGGCCCTAGAACCACGATTTTATGGGGCCAGAAAAGCTGTGAATTAGGACCCGCTAGCCGGTACTAGGCCAAGTGGAAACGCAACCAAAAGCGAGCTCCGCGCTGCAGTGGAAACGCGCCATTAGTGTCAGTGAGGACTCGAGCAGCGGCGTTCTGAATTAGCTGCAGCTTTCTAATATATGTTTTAGTGAGACCTGTGAAGACACCATTGCAGTAGTCCAGTCTACTGAAGATAAAAGCATGGACAAGTTTTTCCAAATCCTGCTTGACATTAGTCTTTTAATCCTAGATATGTTCTTTAGGTGATAGTAGGCTGATTTAGTAACTGTTTTAATGTGACTGTTGAAACTCAGGTCAGAGTCCATGACTACACCTAGATTTCTGGCTTTATCTGTTGTTTTGAACATTGCAGACTGAAGCTCAGCGCTAACTTTTATACGTTCTGCCTTGGCTCCAAAAACCATTACCTCAGTTTTATCTTTGTTTAATTGGAGAAAGTTCTGACACATCCAGTCATTGATTTGTTCAATGCACTTACTCAGCGTTTGAATTGGAGCATAGTCTCCTCGTGAAATACTTATGTAAATGTGGGTGTCATTCGCATAGCTATGGTAACTTATTTTGTTGTTTTTCATTATCTGAGCCAGTGGTAGCATGAAGATGTTAAAGAGAAGAGGCCCCAAGATGGAGCCTTGAGGAACCCCACATGTCATATTTGTCAACTTAGATGTGTATATTAGGTTTTATAACTCTGCGTCCTCTTTTCACCCTCTGTCTGAAACTAGAGCCCAGTCTGCTCTGATTGGTGAGCTGGCCGGCTCTGTTGTGATTGGTCAACCGCTTTCTTAGCCTGTAGAGTACGATGTGGATGTTGGAGTGTTTAGCCAATAGAAGCGCAAGTGTACCTAATAATATAATCTAAACATATCTTCAGTGATGTCATTATGCCACGTACATTAAAAAGAGTGAAATGGGCGGGGAGTTGGGAGAGAAAGTCCTTTGCAGTCTATTTACATGCTCCAAAACCTATACCACTATACAGTACTGTGAAAAACGAACAAAACCAAATGCCCCCTGACCAAATATGTCAAACACTGTGGCTTGGCACGGGTCAGTCTGTCCTGATAAGAACATGTAGCATGGCTTGGTACAGCCTATCTAGCATTATGAGGAAGTAGCAGTACAATCGCATGAAATACTATCAGTAAAAAAGGGCAAGGTCATTAAGAGTACTGATACATAAAAAAACTGCTTAAATACACCTGCCATTATGAATTGATCAAACAAAACAGTAAATGGCAATGCATACATGCTACATTTGATCTAAATCACAATATGGTTATATAAACAATATAATATGGTTTATATTTGTAAGAGGAGAAAATACTTCAGCCCTACAGTAGATTATGGATTGAGATTACCATGGTTGAGCCGGAGTCTCTGTTACTGCAGAGCAAAGTTTCCTAACCTTGTCAAATATCATTGCAGAGTAAATATGTCAGAATTGTGCACATTCAGACAGTGTGTTTAATATTATGCGTCGCTGACCAAACCACTGTTCAACTGGCTTTGCAATTTAAGTGTCAAACTGTTTTGAAATTAGGCTGTATGTACTCTAATCCATTCCTTATAGGGGTCTTTAAAATGTCAAGTCGAGCTGATCAACACTGAATTTAAATCTCAGAGCAGATCACAGGATCAAATAAATGGTAGAAATTAGCCCTCATGCACACATCTTCAGTATACAAGCAAGCCTTATAGAAGTCAAGGCAAGGACGCACACAATCTCCCATTCCCCCACAGGTCTAGACACCTATGCATCTAAAAACAAACTCTTTCTGAGCGGCAGCTGGGATGTGCCGTCTGCAGCGCTGCAGTGGAAACTGTTCAGGTTAATCGGCTTGGTGACATTTGACATCTGTGACTCACAGACGTGGGAGTGTGTGCGTGGAGGAGAGCTTTCACTAACTCATTGAGAACACACACACACATCCTCAAGTTTATCCTTAATTGTGGGCAAAATATGAATGAAGGAAAGGAAAAGCCCTTATTGAGATGAGGAATGCAACTATTTCACTAGTTAATGAAAAGTGCACTTGTATGTCTTTTAACAAAAATATTACTGTTTCTCTAAATTTCAAAACATATGAGAATTTCACTCAACTGGGTAAAATAATCTGTCATCTCTGTGTATTCCTTTCCCACAATTATCCTTTATCTGTTGAAGCATTTGTACAAAACCGTTGCGGTCCTTGGCCAGACATCAACAAATTGAACGTACATTTGCAACAAACTTTATAACTTCACAGGTTTTGAACTTGCAAAACTAAGGCTTTGTGAACAAAAAGCAGCAGGGAAACCTTGTGTTTGCAGTATAAAGGCAGTGATATGACAAACCGATGTTTGTATGAGAACACTGTAAGCAAATGCCGTAAACTGATCATCTCATGTGACTTCCTCACAACAGACAAAAGGTCAAAAGGTGTTTTGGAAACATCCCTCCATCAGGTAGTGAACATAAGACGCTACTCACAGAAGTACTTGAGCGTCTCTTCTATCTGCTCGTGTGTGAGTCCCAGAGCCACGATTGGTGTCAGCAGAGGGGTATGCAGCCAGTCGTCATGGTCGTATCCGAACACCGTGTCCGCTCGCAGGGTGTAGCTGGGCTGACCCTCAGACAGGAGGCTCACTATCTCCAACTCGGGCAGGTCGGAACAAAGGTCTGTGTAATATGGATAACGTTTGTGAGTGTATGGGTTTATATGAGGATAGAGAAACAAACAGAGAAAAAGGGCATTAACAACATGTCCCAACAAATAGTGACCCACAATGAAACGCTGCCCTCTACTGATAGGTCTATGAACCTACCTTTCTTATAACTTTACAATAAAATGAACTCTTGTGCTTGGTATTTGCAAAATGCTCATAAATTAAAATTCTTAATTAAGGGTTTAAGAGTTTTTGCAAAAACATAAATACAATAGGAGTGTCTTCTCATTTATGTTCACATATTTCTTTCAGGCATTCAGTCAATTGTACCAAACAATGTGAGCAATTATTTTGAACGTCGAAGAAAAATAAATCATAAAATCCTAGGACTTTTGCATAATTAAATTAAGATGTTTAAATACCTAACAGGCCTTTTTTAAAGATAAATTACCTTAATACACCTTGGAATCTTGATTACATTTTTAAAAAATATATATATATTTATATATATATAAATGAAAGATATTTTTCCTCTGTGACTCACCTGTTAAAGTTGAGACATCGTGGCAGGCTGGTTGTCCCAGGTCCCAGAGGCTCTCAGATGTTTCAATATGAAGAGGCCGGGGGTCCGTCCTGAGGGCCCCAAGCGCCTCCCCCTGCCCCTCATGGAGGGAGAACGCTGACTGGGAGTCCAGGTGGGCCTGTGGGGGCCAGGAGGGAGGAGAAAGAGGAGAAGGAAGAGGAGAGGAGGGAGGGGAGGCAGGGTGGGACAGCTTGAGACGGGGCTGGAGGGTTCAGGCTGAAGGCTGACCCAGAGCTGGGTGTCCCGCTGTGGGACTGAGGCCCCCTGCTGGCTCAGGGAGAGGACACAGGCCTCCAGGGCATCAGGCTCTAATTGGCTGAGAAGGTAACTAGAGAGGAGAATGCAAAGAGGAGGAGAGGGGAGAAAAGAGTCATTAGGATGTTGGAACTGTTCATTGTTATGTTCATTATATTGCTGTATATAAAGAGCAAGTTGAGTGACATATTTTAGTTCGTTTTGGTAGTTATTTATGGTTTTGGTTTTTGCAGAGAGGTGGAGGCGTGTGGTGCAGTGGTTAGAGCGTTGGTGTTGGGAGCACAGGTTCAAACCCCACTGCAGTCAGCATTTCGTTGTGTCCCTGCCTGGGCAACACACTTCACCCCAAATCTATGTAAGTCGCTTTGGATAAAAGCGTCTAACAAGTGACATGTAATGTAATGGGGAAGAGTGATTCGACACTGGAAAAGTTATTTTTCTTTACCAGGAAAAGAGATATAAAAGCCGGTGTTCTTTGTATTTTGTAGTTTATAGAAAATAATAAATAAATTCTCGCCTAGACAATGGACATTTTCCTGTGTAAGATTTGCTTCCTGGTGCTTTAGCGGCTCTTTGATTTTGGGTTTGTTTTCAGTTTTATAAACAAATAGCCACCACAAGAATGTTTAAAGGGTGTTTAAAGGATCTAGGTGACAAAAAATGTATTGAATATAGCAATGCAGGTGATTATGATAAGTATGTATTGAAGATTGCAATCTTATACAGTTCTGCATACAAAGCCTGCAATATGGTGTGACCACAGTTTTGTTTTCAGTCTCTCCATTTCTCAAGCAACACGAGTGAACAACTTTAACTAGACGTTGCTTGACTTTTGCTTTTTAGGAATACATTGAACGTTTTTGTTTTACCATTCAATAGGCCCACAATTGGTCAAAAATGCCAGCATACAACATCTCTCAAACTAGTAACTGCAGACTCGTTTTTTTAACACAGAAACTGAAACTTGTAAAACAACTCTCCATATGAGAAGTAGTTAATGGGGTTAATTGTCTTTCCAACGGTCTCACAAATAAAACAATTAAAAACTACAAAAGGGTTAAGAGTAATACTAAAATAGAAAATATGTTGAAACATTTGGTGAAGCCCTACTTTAAGAAAAATGTTTTGTGATGAAACTGTATCAAAGAAGATGTTATATTATTATTAATAAAACCAGCAACTCCATTAGTGCCAGTTTCTAATATCTCTTATCGTGCAAGTAACTGAGACCCATTTATTTTTCAACAGATCTGAAGTCTGCCAGCATCAAACCTTTTGTCTGATCAGAAAGCCTTTCAGTAGAAGCACAACAGAGCCAGCCTCCTCACTGTGTTGTAGGGTCACACGGATAGAGTAACCTCCGTCTGAAGCGACACACAGATCAGATTTCAGATCACACACACACACACACACACACACACACACACACACACACACACACACACACACACACACACACACACACACACACACACACACACACACACACACACACACACACACACACCTGTTAACACCAGCAGCTCCAGCTGCGAAAAGTTAATGCATTCAGTCTGCACTGATCTAGGTCGATATCATCTCTGACAGTATGCACCATACAGCAGTGATTCTCACCGTGAGGACTGGGTTTTCAGATTCACTCATTTAAAATACCACTCTATAAAAAGTCTTACAAATGTCACATAAAAACAAACATTTTAAATACATAAGTTATAGATAACATTCCAATTAAAAAATATATATACCTCTTAGAATCTAAGCATATCTTCATCTATTATCATTTAATTATGTCTTGTGTTTTTATACAGTGTACCTTTGTTTCTCTCACTAAGACTGTAGAAGTGTAAAAAATAGGGAATAAAATAAGAGGGTCACATCAGAATACTCTGTCTTGTTAGGGGTCTTTATACCTGAAAACAATTGAGAACCTCTTTTATTCAATAACATACATCTTTGGAAAAGAAGACTCGATTTTAATATTTACGTTCTTTGCGCAATCACTTGACAGTATTTAAGGTCCACCTTGAAAAAACTAATACACCCAATCTATATCAGCAGGGCTAAATTAAATAACAGAGACACCTCTCTGTTTTGTGTAATACAATTCAACAACAATCATAACCTGCGTGAAGAGAGGATTTATTACAGGGCTAGGTGTGCATAGTAAACTGGCATCTAAATGTATGTAGTTACTCGTAAACTAATTTAACTCTTGTTTATAGAATATCTGCCATCCCTGCCCCATATTTTCATAGTATAAAGGCAACCATAAATATGGTTTTACAATAATACACTACAAGCATAACTAAATAATGTTGTGTGTATGGAAGTGATGAAGTCAAAACTCGCAGAATTTATTTTGTAGGTGGTCTTTTTTTTTTTTTTATCCGATTTATTTCGAATGTGTAAAACAATAATACAAACATTTAACATGAGAATTATTATACAATACAAAAAATAGGCAGTGTCAAATTGATATACAAAAATATTACTACTAGGGGTGGGAAGAAGTTTACACTTATTTAATCCCACCCCTTCTCCCAAAAACTAAATTATTAACGTATACATATGTATAGTATTGTTTTTATAATGATAATAATAATAATAATAGTAGTGTTGTTTGTATTTAATTATTTTTTGAAGAATGTTCTTGTGTGTTTTGACATTATTGTTAATATTTGTAAGAAACATTTATTTTCATTATCAAAAACAATATACAAAGCTATGGTAATGATAAAGATTTGCCACGTACTGAATCTTACTGATCTTTTATATATAAAAAAGGTTCTCATACAGTTTAAAAAGCTGCTTATTAATGACACAATACTGTACTTAAATTCAAGTCTGAGGGTGGCTTCATGCTTTAGCCAGGCGGGTAACAAAAGGACACTTGATACGTCGACCCGGTTATTGCAGTCAATAAAACATGCAGCCACAGGGCAAAGGGTTAGGCCAAATTAAAGGGACAGCGAGCAGCCTGGCATGTGTAGAGCAGAGAGACACACACACACACACACACACACACACACACACACACACACACACACACACACACACACACACACACACACACACACACACAGATAAAGACTGCAGCTGTGGACCCTTTTAGATTACACTTGAATTAAAGTAACCCCCCGCCACAGCAGTATCACTATCACCAGCCGCTTTATATTCCCTTCACCCTTGTTGGTGTACTCCCCTCCTCTGCTTCCCACAGCACAGTCCATCCAATCAGCTGAGTGATTTGGTTGGTGGCCAACACCCCACCCCCCCTTCAATCCTCTCTCTCTCTTATCGATGTCAAGAGGAGACGCAGCACCTGCACACACTCCAGCTTTGAGATTCCCCCCCATCAGAGCAAACCATTTAGAAGTTTGTGTTATGGCTGGGTTACTTAAAGAAAATCATATCGCAACACCAATATCTGATCTAATACCTTAATGTGATATAGTCACTACATTGTAGGGTTGGCAATTTATTCTTTAATAAAAATATATGCACAAAAAATAGTCTCATATAAAGATACATATCTAACATTGATATATTGCTCCGCCATAGTTAGTGTATCTTCACTAGAGTAATTCTAACATTGATATATTGCTCAGCGCTAGTATATCTACAGTATGTGTTATGAGGAGAGTTAAAGTTCTTGTTTACACACAACAGACCTGTGTGCATGGGAATATTTTTTAAAAGTCCTAAATTCACATCCACACAAAACAAAAGCTGTGTACTCATGTGGAGAAGGAAAACATGCATGTCGTCCAGGCTCTTCACATTAACATTAACCCTCCGTCAGTTCCAATTTAGCAGTGAGTGAAACACACTGTTGGTTTGTTAGCCACGCAGCAGAGCGAGACCCTGTCAGACTCTTAGGTCTGACACCAGGGGACACGGTTATTAGCCCCCCTTTGCCAGAGGAATACAAAAAAAAACTGTCAGCTGTAGCATCATTCATATCGAACACAGTGGAGCTGCTGAGAAGGTTAGCGCACCAACCTGTGTCCAGAAAAAGCAACCAAAACCAACTTAAAATAATACCAGGGGGTTCAGTGTGCTGTAAACAGATTCAATGTGACATTAATATAATAAAATCCAGTGAACAAATGCAACAAAGGCCATAGTTTTTGCTTCTTTTCCAAAATGTATAGTGTGTTTCTGCTTTTGACCTTGAATCCAGGGAGTTTAAAGGGCTCTACGTTGGTACTCTGCAAACAATGCCCTTCCAGGAGGGTGTGTACGTGAGCAGAGGCACACAGGAGGGAACGAGAGCCGGCAGGAGGGGGGAGGAAGGGAGGGAGGACAGCTACACAGAGGGGGCTGAACGAGGGGCTCATTTGAGACAGGGGTGCAAGGGAGAGTACACAGATCAAAGAGCCTTCTGGCTAGTGCAGCAGGTGACTGTCTTATGATCTTTTCTGTAGCTAGGAGAACTTAATGTCAGAAACTGATTAGCAAATGCTTCTTAAAGTCAATACATTTCAAATAAGCTGGCATTTGTCCTTAACTGCCATTACATTTAAAGTTATAGAGACAAACATAAGTATTTTTTATTTTATTTTTAAAAAGGTATTTACTTCAGCTTTGATCCAAAAAGCTGAAACCAATTATTTTTCATGGAGGTAACTTTAATGACTTCTTCATTATGAATATCTGGCAGGCAGGATGCCCTTGGTTCTTTCTCGTTCATGTGACCAAGCTTCAAATGACGAGTCCCTGAATCTAATGACGACAGGAGAACTTCTGCATGATGCAAAATAATATATATGTGGGTTGAAGGGGAACGAGAAGTAAACTCAAATCCATTTTCTTTCAAAGAGCAGACTGTAAGTGCTTGCTTTTAGAAATTACAGGGTGGTCTACATTCTTCGAGGGTAATATAACATGAGATTTAAAGACTGAAAAATAGACTGACTTTCTTTTTCTTCTTGATATATAAAAAAAAAAAACATAGGTAACATTAGCAATAACATTAACTAGAGCCTTGGCTCCGAGGGCTTCAACGTGCAAATAAACTCACCTGCTTTCATGCCACTACATCGGACTATAAGACACAAAGTCTGGATAATTGCAGCAATTTAATTATCAAATGATGTAATTAAAGAGTTTTAGAGTCTTTGGTTAGAACAGGGGTCTGCAATCTTTTTGACCAAAAGAGCCATTTTGCTCCTTTTTCCCAAAACATTTTTTGTCTGGAGCCGCAAAACATATTTCATAGCTTGATAGCTAATAAAGTTGTATTTATTGTTATATCAGACAAAAACTACAGTTTTTTTTGCATTTATTAGGCTATTTATTACATTATATAAAACTGTTAACCTCTAANGTGTGTGTGTGTGTGTGTGTGTGTGTGTGTGTGTGTGTGTGTGTGTGTGTGTGTGTGTGTGAGAGTGTGAGAGAGATTCCTGTTATCTGTCACCACTGTCCAAAAAGTCAGTTGATGCCTTTCAAAAACCAGCCAGCCAGAATTTGGCAGTCGGACAGCAGT